TCATGGGCTTAACAGTTCCCTCAAACCTCAAAGGCTTCAATCTCAAAGATATCTGTAGATGTCAATCTACAATATTAAAACTAATAGCAAGAACTCTGCTCTGTGTCTCACCCATCATCTAGGCTATTAAACTAGAAAATTATAAAACTATGTCAAAATAGATTGTTAGAGCAATACTTTATACATGAGCTGTTTAATAAGCACCCTTCCCAAATATCATGCCTAGGTCTAGCAGATCTACAACTATAAATAATATATAACTAAACATATATACATATGAAACAAATTATAATAAATACTTAGAAAGACTCAAAACTATCCCACTAGACTAACATATCAATTCTTATAGCTCTTTCTTATGATCCATTCTAAAACTATTGCTTTGATACCATGAAAGTTTTCCACAAACCAACCCGACCAGGTTGGTTCCTATTGTGTTGAGTTGTGATAGACAAATCCCAAGATGTAGTTTTGAAATGTTTTAGATTCTCTTCTGATATTCATTTTAAATAAACTACATACTATATAATTATTAAAATATCTATGTACTCAAAATAAATTATCCATAAAATTTCTTTCATTTCGTCAAAATATATAAACTATATTACATGACTATAAACATAAGCTACAGAACTGAATCATAAACTAGCTATGACTGTATAAAAATCAAAATATAGAAATACCTATAAATTCATATCATTCCTAAAACTATTAATAAACCAGCTTATTCTCTTTTTTAGATCTTGAAAATTAGAAGAAGAACCACAATGATCTAAAATTTTAAATTCTTTTACAAAATTTTTTAGAATATTTTAAAGTAATTAAATGCAGCTTAATAAATTATTATACTGAGAAAGATAATAAGAGCATAGCAGTTATTCAATTATTTAATAATAGTACTGAGTAGACAAATAAATTGAAACTCATATTATAGAGCAATTCACATCAAAAAGCAGTTCATATCATTATTTTTGATCCTATGTACTCAAAACATGCTTGTATCCACCATAACATACCTTATAGATGTCAAATATTCCTTGACATAAATAGAATCTCAAAAGATTATAACCCTTTTATATTTTCTAGCTTACACCACATAATATTTAAAGCGTAATTAAGCTCATGTAAGATTTTCATAGTTTTTTATAATGGTAGGAAATGGAAAATAATATTGAGAAAAATTCACAGTTTCATAATATAAAAAAATTATTAGAGATTTAAAAATATTATTTTAAAATACTAATTATACTTAATACTATTTTTTAGTGTCCACGTTATTTTTTATTCGATAAAAACTACAAAATTTTCAAAATATAGATAAATTAAAAAAAAATATTCAGAATGTTAATAATCTCAATCTCTATAATATATAAAAGTACACTCTAAAAATTTTTCAGTGCAAATTTATTCGCATTTTTTGGTACCAAAAATATAAATTTAATCCAAAAATTTAAAAAAACTTCGTATTTTTTTAAAACTAAGATAGGCATAATGTGACAAACCTTGATCCGAACAACTTTTCTAAGTGACTCAATGACTAAAAATGATTCAAAGCAACTCTAAATGCATTATTCCCTCCCAAATTCATTTCCTCTCTCCAATTTTGGTCACCGATAAATACCCTTCTTGATTTAGGCGAAGTTTCGGGACCACCACCTTGGCTGATGTTTGATGCATCGGATTTTCTCCCTGCTGATGTTATAGTTTTCCCCCCCTTTGTCCACTGTATGATGCTTCAATTTTCCCATTTTGCTACTGCCCTTTTGGTCCTTATTTTTTGTTTTTTTAAGGAGTTCCTATTGGTTAAATGTGTGGTGGCTTAATTTCATGTATTTATTTCTCTTCTAGTTTATTTTCTTATATATAGTGATTATTTTTCTGCTTGGGAAAAGAAGTTTTATAGTGATAATTTGTGCATTCTAAAACCTGTTGGTTTTCTCTATCTTGCAAGCTAGCCTCCTTTTTTACCTTCCCCTCTATTATTTTGTCTTGGTATTTTATTTCTTCTTTTCTATCCACGGTTCCTACCCCATATGTATCTTTCTTTATGAAGGTTTTGTAAGTTGAAGGGTGTAGTCACGTCGATGTGTCATGTTTAGTGTTTATCTATAAAAAGTGTATTTTAAGCTCTGATCTTGTGTTTATATTTATGTTTTAAGAAAGTAAGATTTGATTTTTTGCAATCTTTAATTTTGGTTATATCAATTTAATATCAGAGCTTTAGGTTATTGCGACTCTTCATTCTTTCTTTTTAAAAAATAGATATTCATGAACAACCCGAGTTCCTAAATTAAGATGCAATAGAATTTATTGTTAGTGAAACTCAACCAACTAATCTAGAAGAGATAATTCCAACAAATAGATGGGTTTCATCACAAGGAAGTTTTACTGATCTAATCCAGAACAAACTTATACAAAATTAAGGAAAAAATAAATTTTGTACAAAAAGATATGAAAAGAAAAAAGTCTATTTCAAGTCCAGTTTAATTAATAAAAAGAAATGTTCCAACGAAAGTATGCTAAATTAATACAAGAATTAGATATGACTTAATAAGCTAAAAATAAAAACTCTGAAGCTATCTTATCAGGGGATGAGATCTCTCCACATGAGGAGAATTAATGTAGATAAATTTTTGGTTCCCCCCACCCACCTTGGATGCTGTTTGATGCTTCGTATTCTCCCCCTACTAATGCTTCGATTTTTCACCCATTTGGCCTCCAAGTGATGTTTCGGTTTCTCCCTTTTGCAACTACCGTTTCAGTCCAAATTTTTATTTTTTTTAAGGAGTTCCTATTGGTTAAATGTATGGTGCCTTAACTTCTTGCATTAAGTATTCTTCTCTTTTATTTTCTTATATATAGTTACTTTTTTCTTGCTGGAAAAAGAAGTTTTTGAGGATTTGTAAAGAGAATTTGAAGATTTCGGGTGCCATAGTTGGAGATGGAAGAAGGTGGCCTGTCATCCATGGATGACCGAAACACCAAATCTTTTTTATCCATCGCAAGTCCAATTATGTTGGATTCAAAAGGTAGATTCTCCTTCAAACGTATCTCCCCTCACAATCTTCGTGTTTTGGAATCTCCTCTTGTTATCAAAGAGGGAGGCTTGATGGCTAAGCACAAGCCATTGCCGGATTCAAGTAAAGGGAAAGAGGTAATTTAGGTTTCAAACAAGATACCAAAATCACCTTTGTCGGTTATTATCTCTGGAGAAAATGACAAGAGGCTTCTTCTTCAAGGAACAGTTTCATTGATGTTTTGACGAATGATAAGGATATTGGCAAGAGTATTGTCAATATCAAAAATCCAATGATCTTTTGATTAATTCAAAGATTGTTAAGATGCAAAATCCAGTTTTTTCTCCAACAAACCCTGCACCCGTGGATCAACAAAAGTGTGCTGAAGTTTTGGAAATTCAAAACTCTAAATTTGAATTTCCACAAATTATGGAGGCTGATAAGGAGGAGTTTGAGAAGGAGCATATTTCAGTTTTGACTCCTACAAAGGCAGCAAGGATTTCTGAAATAGTTATTAATAATGATGGAACAAGAGATAGTTTTTCTGAAGCTATTTCTTCTACTTCAACAATCAGTTTAAAATTCAAAAAAATTGTCTTAATGAAGAATAAAAAGGCCTCTACTATGGAGCTTGGTTCTTCAGGTTCTAAACACAAGTTGTTCAAAGAACTACAATCTTTAGGACCGGTGAAAGATCAAAATAGAAGAAGGATTACTGATCTCAGCGGACGACATCAAAGGTTCTTCCCAAACATCTTAGTAATATGCTAGCCGATATTATCATAGCAATCAGCAAAGTAGAAAGGTACCAGAGGTTGGAGCATATGTTCAAAGAGTTTACCATATCTCTTGCTTTGGACTACATCATTGGAAGTTTAAAGAGACATCTGAAACACCTACCAATGTTACTCTTAGGTGTTTTCAGTTTGTCCTGGATTTTTTGTAATTTACATTTGTTTATATTTTATAGCTTCCTTTTTGTTTTAGATTATTATTTGTTTTTTAAACTTATTATATTTGCTAATGGGATCGATACTAGATCCTATTCCTTAACCGGATGGGAACTCTGGGATACTAACCAACCCTTGGGTTGTTTCAAACTTTGGTATCCCCTGCATCTCAACGGTTTCAAAATAGGAAACAGTCGGTTTCATTTCAAAGATAATATGTTTAATTTAAACAAATATGCTTTCAATAAGGATCCTTTTTCTCTTGATCAAGGATCTATTAATTTTTACTTCCTAGTTTGTATTAGATTGTTATTTCTTCCATTTTAATGAATTTTTTTGCATTTTCTCAAAAAAAAAAAAAGAAGAAGCTTTTGAGTGATAATTTGTGGAATATAGAACCTGCGGGTTTTCTATTTTTTGTGAGCTAGCCTCCTTTTTCCTTCCCCTCTATTACTTCATCTCGGTCTTCTATCTCTTCTTCTCTATCCGCGGTTCTCGTGCCAATTATCTTTCTTCACAAAAATATTATAAGTTGAAGGGTGTAGTCGAGTCGATGTGAATGTTTGTTCTTTATCTATAATATATGTCTTTTAAGCAATTATCTTGCATTTATATTTATGTTTTTAAAAAGAAAGATCTAATTCTTTGCAATCTTTTATTTTGGTTACATCAATTTGGTATCAGAGCCTTAGGTTTTTATGAGTCATCCTTCTTACATCGATTGGATTGCTGATTAGGATGGGTGAATAAGTGATTGAGAAGATGAAGTTATAGGCTATGCTAGGGTTTTGGACCCCATGAACCTGATATTAAGTATTTTGATGATTATAAGAATTATTCACTGTGATTGAGTTAATAAATTTGTGCGCAAACCATTTTGTTTTAAGCTAATAATTTTGTTATATATTTTTATTTTTAAAATTACATTATGTGCGTGTGTATTTATACTAGTTAAAAGAAATAGCATGTAGTCCTATTCTATTTTTTCTTTCCCTACTATTTTTAATCCCCAATCAGAGGACAGATGATTGTATAGCACATTTCAAATCTTCATGCTTTATTAGCGAATTTTCTGAACAACAACAAAAACCTTCTAAAGGAAAATAAGCTCTAAAAATAGACATTTTAATTAGTACTATTACCAAGCGAACTGAAACTTTCTGTTTTACAACCGAACTTCATATTGCTCTAGATGCTACAAGGCCAAGGGCAGATCTCTTGTGCACAGTGATACCTGGAACTTCATCCATGTCCATCTCTTCTTTCTTCATTCCATCAGGCAATCTCCAATCAAAGTAATAAAGTAAATTCGCAAGAGCAAGTTCCACTGTTGCCATTCCAAAGTTCTTACCCGGACAATTTCTACGACCCGACCCAAATGGTATGAACTCAAAGTCATGACCAATGTAATCTATTGAGCTATCAATGAACCTCTCTGGTAAAAACTCCTCAGGATTCTCCCAAGTTTTGGGATCTCTTGCAATGCCCCAAGCATTGATGTAAACCCGAGTATTTGGTACTATATCATAGCCACTGATCTTGCAATGTCTAATTGCCACTCGCGGAAGCAATAATGGAACAGGCAAGTGTAGCCTCAAAGTTTCTTTTACCACTGAGTTGAGGTATTGAAGCGGATGGAGACTGCTTTTTGTGAGATGTGCGGAGCTTCTTACTTCCTCTTGTACTTTTTGCATAATCCTTGAATTCCTCACCAACTCTGCCATTGCCCAAATTATAATGGCAGAAGATGTTCCAATTCCAGCGATGAAAATGTCCTAAGACAATTAAAAAAAACAAAATCAAGCCGTAATTTCATGAAGAATGCAAAACAGCACGTAGAGAGTAATTACCTTTAGAATAGCTTTAATGTTAGCGTTGGTGATAAAAGGTGAATTCTTCTGTTGATGAAGCAAGACATCAACTATGTCTTCCTGTTCATGGTTTGTCCTCCTCTTATAAATGCGCTCCTCAATTATTTCATTATAGAAAGAATCAAACTTGTTGAAGGTCCTCTCCAATCTTTGTTGTAGGCCTGTAAGCTTGTCAATCCAACCCAATGATGGGAAACAATCTGAAACAAAAAAGGTGCCGAACAACGTCTCGGTTTCTTGAACAAGTGCGTGGAAGTGTTCCTTCTCAAGATCTTCTTGATCATACTTCTTGCTCAGTGCAACACGGCAAATTATATTGCTTATGAGAGTCGACACAAGCTTCGTTAGATTAATCGGTTTTGATAAGGATTTAGAGACCGAATCAATAAGGATAGCGACCTCTTCTTCTCTTACAGAATGGAATGTACTAACCCTCTTTGTGCTAAAGAGTTGAAGAATACAAATCTTTCTCATCTCTCTCCAGTACTCACCATAGGCAGCAAAGCTGATGTCCTTGCAATCATAAGAGAATTTATTGCTGGAGGTGAGCCCAGGCCGAGAGCAGAAGCCAAAATCATTGGTTTTAAGGATTTCTCTTGCCATGTCTGCTGAGGAGACCACAAGGATTGGCACTTTGCCAATCTTGAGATGCATCAAAGGGCCATATTTTTGTGACAGAAGCCACAAGGGGCGATGAGTTAAACCACCAACTTGATGTAGATTTCCGATTATGGGGAGCTTTCTTGGTCCTGGAGGGAGTTTAGGACTCAACTCTCTTCTCTTGATTCTCCTAAAAATAATAAAATGTAAAAAGAAAGCAAGTGCTATAGTAAAGAGCCATGCTAAGAGGAATACAAAATCCATAAATGACTTGCAGGAAGGTTGGAGAAACTCTGGCTCTTTATGGATGATTTTTGAGATGTTGTGATCTGGATCATATCTTGACAGCCCTAAGATAGCTTGTCTAAACTCGAAAGCAAAATTTTCAACTTCATATTTTAGTCAAGTGAATAATGCAAGTTGTTTGATTTATGTAAAATTTCTAAAATACTTTTTAAATCAGTAATCGTATAAGATTTATTTTTCTGGGAGTGAATTATTAGCAGCTCTACTGCAGGAAACAAGCCAACGTGACCAACGTCCCATCAGCTCAAAATGCTCCCAGTAAGTTTGCATCAGACAAAAACTGTGACGCAACTGCTGACTAAAATTATCATATTATAAGAGAAAAATGAACGGCCACTGGATGCCTTTTTCTAGTTGTTGGCATCAGCCCTGCCGTCCACTGAATACCAATAATTTCGTCACATTGCTCCAGGACAAGATTTCTGAGGAATTGTCTTTATGTGTTCCTGATCAAAATCATATACTTGTATATGTTTTTTTTTTTTTTTTTTTGGAAATTTTTAGGGCCTAGCTCGTATCATTGATAAAAAAAAAAAATTATAAGTGAGTAAAATGTAAAAGAAAAATTATATTCCTGAATCTCAACAACAAAAGAGAAGCCAAGGACTCAAATTAAGGACAAAAACCCATTGAAAATACAAAGCTTGAAGGAAATAAACTATGAAGGATTCGGGTAGCTCATGGTGAGAAACATGAATGGGACCAAAAATTGCACGAGAGGGACTACACCAGAGCGAAGCTCCAGGTTGTCAAAAAGACCGTCTGAGGGGCAATTGGGATTAGCAGCAATCATTATTGTCCTTCCAAAAATAACTCCAAGGACACAGAAAGCAGTAACTAAAGATCGAAGAAGCAAGAAGGAAGTAACTGATATGTTGTCCAGAAAACCCTTGATCCATAACACTATCAAAGGCGTAATTCAAGTTCGGCCTCATAAGAAGGTTACCAAACCAGGGGAGGAAGTGCTTGATGATACTAAATGTGAATTTACATTCAAAGTAAATATGAGAGATGGATTCTTATTCTTTCTGACAGAAACAACAATTGTTAAAGGTAAGAATCCCACGAGAGGCTAGACATATGCAGTTTTTGAAACTTCCTTTGAAAGCCATCCATGCATTAGATGAAAAACGTAATGCTGCTTTCTTGTGCCAAACCAACTTGTGCCAAGAAACAATCTCCATAGAAGAGTAAAAGAGATAACTAAAGGTTTTAAAATTTGGATTTTGGGTGCCCAGCCAGGAATGCTTCTCCAAATTACTGTCTATGTGGATGGCTTGAATATTAGAAACAATCAAGGCATCAAAACAGTGAGGGATAGACCAACTATTCCCAATAATAAACTTAGATATCGTCCAGTCAAAGGAGGAATACCCATTAAGAGCCTGCATCTCATTCAACATATCCATAATAGAGGTGTCATTGCACCAACGGTCCCATAATAAAGATAGATTGCTACTCGAATGGACAGACAAAGAAATACAGTGCTTAATAGTATTAGGCATCTTGCATAAATAGTTCCAGTAGGGTGAGCTTTTGACAATCATTGGATTCCACAAAGAATGATACTTTGAACGCCACCAATTAAAGAGTGAATTGCTAGAGTTTAAAAATCTCCATATTATCGAACAGGAAAACTTTGGTATCTAGAGTCAATGGAAGGGATACCCAGGCTACCGTTAAATTTGTGAATACAAGTATCTTTCCAAGATATAGTGTGCAGTTTTCTCATGATTATATTGCCAAAATAAAGGAATCTAGAGCACATCCTGTTAATAAGTTTGTAACAACCTTTGGGAAGGATAGAGCCATGAATCCAATAGGCCAAAGTGTTGCTAATGGTGAATTTGAGGTATTAAATCCTACCAGCAAAGGATAGGATTTTTGCTCTCCAACAAGAGATGAAGAAATTCTTTGAAGTAAATGTTAGAAGTCCATAGCCTTCAATTTTTTGTAGTGAATAGGCAACCCAAGATAGTTGATGGGAGTGGAGGATTGGTTTATTTGAAGGATTGCAAAAATTTGGGAAGTCTCAGGAACTTGTCTTTCAAGAGAGCTCGTAGGAGGAAGTCGTATGAGCAATCTAAACAGAATTATGTTGGATCTTTATACCTGCCTATAAAAGCAAAAATGAAAAATCATGATTTAGAAAATTAAATTGAAATGTTCTTAATTTTAATTTTCTTAATAAATAATTATTCTTAAAATATGAAATGAAAAACTTATCGAAATATTGATTGTGCACGTAAATCTTCTTCTTTGAAGTGTTGATTGAGAAGTAAGCCTTTCTTTTAATCACTTCATTAAATATATTTTAGTGAGTGAACACATTTAATCAATTACTGATGAATACTCTTTTATTTTAATGCAATTTGTATTCTCAATACAATTTTATCCTTCAAAAAGAAGACTAAGAGATTAATTTTTCTCATTTATCATCTTCCATTCGTTTTTGTAGAACTTATTCATTATTTATAAGAAAAGTTCACATCTTTTTAATTTGAACACATCTTTTTAGAAGAACTTTTTTATAATTCATAAAACATCTTTTTATATTAAATTGATAATTATCATGACACGTCATCATCTCTATCTTTTAATAACACGTCATTATTTTTTAAAATATTAAAAGATATTTATTATGACACATCATTATTTGATTAAGTTTTTTATACAATATAAAAAAATATTCTTTTAACATAAATGTGATACTAATATAATCATAATTTAACATTTATATTATATTACAGTTTTAATAATAATGTTAAATTAATATATAATAGTTCTAAGGTGATGAAGAAGGGGCCTATATACTTATAATTCAAGATCCAATAAATTTTATCATTAATTTAGCTCTTAAATTAATAAATTAAAATTATTAATTTCAATATTATTCCACTACAATATCAAGCCTTTATCCCACTACGTGGTTTATACAATTAAAAAAAATATATTCTTTTAACATATATAAATGTGATACTAATGTAATCATAATTTAAAATGTATATTATATTATATTTTTAATAATAATGTTCAATTAATATATAATAGTTCTAAGATGATGAAGAAGGGTTTATAGACTTATAATTCAAGCTTTAATAAATTTGACCATTAATTTAACTCTTAAATTAATAAATTAAAACTATTAATTTCAATATTATTCCACTATAATATCAAGTCTTTGTCCCACTACATGGGGTCGGCTATATGAAATTGCACTCTTAAATTTAAAGTATAAATTTCTCAATTTAAAAGATTGAATTGTCAATTGATTTAACCATTAAATATAAAATAACCATCAATAAAAAGTTCGTAATTAGAACCAAGTAATTTTGTTACTTCACTAATTGCATCTTAATCCTTAAATTCTAATTAATTTACTATTGAATAATAAACTTTGTGGTCTTATCACAAAATTTGAGCACTCAATTGTCCAAGTTTTGAATTAATTATTCAAGGGAATTATTTTTCTAACTTTTAAAAATAAAATGTATAAATTCCATATCTCTATATTAATATTTCCAATCAGTTATTTCATTTTATTTCTAAGATGTAAGGATTGAGTTTATATCTTCCAAATTATTTTTGAGTAAGTCAAAAAATCAAATGCCACAAATAAGAGTTTATTAATTTTTCAGGATTAAGATTGTTTTATATATATTCATCTTGATGATTAATTTTGAACTTTCCTTGTTAAAACATAATTTATTAGATAATTCAAAATTTATCTAGTCAAGTTCTATATAATCATATTATATCAAATACCTACATTTTAATATCTCTATATTGAATAATCCAGATAATACTATTCCACTCTTAATATTGATGGAGAGTTCTAATAGTATTTAATTATAGATTCTAAATATAATTCAAATTTATGAACTTATTTAGATTATTATCTATAATTCAATCATCTTCTATATAATTATATACTGAATTATAATTACATAAATAATCATGGAATAAATATAATAATAAAATATTTTATCAAATGATAATATTCGTACATGCAAAATTTATCTTTAAATATTTATTTCAATAGAAAATATATTATAATAATATTTCTTTAATACACACTCTCTAACAAACTCCCACTTTCCCTAAAGAAAATGAGGCATCTATCTTAATCCCATTTCTTGTACATATTTTGAAAAAGTTCTTTCAAGAAGCGTCTTGATAAATGGATCATAAATATTCTCTGTTGATGTTATCTTATGTACTGACACCTTACCCTCTTTCTCAATCTCTCTTATTAAATAATATTTTTTGTTAATATGCTTTTTTTTTTTTAATTTTTACTTTTTTGTATTTGATATAGCTGTATTATTGTCACAAAATAATATTAGACATTTTTTTAAAATTTGGATAACTTTATCATTTTTGTGAATCTAATTTCGGGGAATATAATTTTAATGATAGCAAACATCTCTATTTTTTCACGACTTTCTTACCTACTAAAATTTTAGGTCCACAAGATAAATTTACAAATCAAACTAGCTTAAGATTGGGTAGATTATGACTGAGTCAGCTTGTAATATATGTAAGTGTCTTTTATTTTTTCTTGAGTCCATTATAATATTGTGGGTCTTGATGCTAAGTAACCTTGCACACACACACATGGGAAAAAATTCTATCTGTTTATTAATGTTTCTATTTTGATCACATCATCCCGGACGATTCAAAAATTGTCCTGAATGATCAGTTAAAAATAGAAAACTTAATTAAGGAATCCTGGTTAAGGTAGCCACAATTAAGCAAATCATCCTAGATGATAGGCTCAAATCAGAAAGAATCAGCCACCAAATCTAATTAGACATGTTTTATTTTTTGACATTATCCAAAACATCACCATGGATGATATAGTACAATTATACCTAAATTAATTTGGTAATTAAGAAAAATAATTAATATTTGATTACTCGATCATATCATCCTGTACGATCGCAGGATCATCCGGGATAATCAGTTAACAAACCTTAGTTCCTTCTGGATGGTTCATAATCAGCATGGCTCTATTGAGGGCGATGTTTTGGCCAATATATGATATTTTAAACTAATCGTCCCAGACGATCATGAGCTCGGCCTAGATGATCAAGTTAATTTTACATCA